GAATTTTTGGCTGTATAAAGGATTTTACATCAATCGATAAGAAATAATAGGGCAAGCCTAAAAATAAAAAAATAATAATGTCTGCTTTACAGACTCAACAAAACATAAAAATATTCGCTTCAATTAAAATACAGTTAGAGTTTTACCAATGATTATATAAACTCTGAGATGAGTAACGTAATGTTTATTTTAGTTCGACTCAAAAAAGTCTAGTCTGGGCTTTCAGATGGCTTATCGCTCTTAAAACGCTAAGTCAGCCGAGTGGCTTTTCGACCTCAACATTTTTCGTCTCGAAAACGCTTCGACACGTTCATACATACGGAGACGCGGACGACTGGATTGACAGCCAGACGAACTTGGATCAACTTGGCTATAGAAGCCGATCAAGAATATATTTACTTTATGGGTTAAAATATGCTTCCTTCTGCCTGAATTGCCAATGGATTCACGGTCTAAAAATTCGTACATGCTTAAAACAATTGTTTATCCCCTCTTTGCCAGCTTTTGAATTCCTCCGTGCGCATTGGGTCCCTAGGTGATTAGTTGCACCCCAGCAGTACCATGAACCATGCTCTCTTATCCACTCCCGTCAGTGTCCCTTGATATTGCAGCTCTGTTTGGACAAACATGTCAGCCCAACGGATGCCCTTACCATTTACAGGGTTGTTAAATCCGTCGGTTGGAATGCCTTTCGCTAACGCCATGTCGGGCCATCGATACCTTGGCCTTGAAGTAAATTGCTAACTTTTCGCTGCGCTGCTAATTTCGCGATTCAAACTTACTTCGAATTTCGCCCTAAGACCAAGAGGTAGCCACACGTTTTCGTTTTAACTTGATTATTTACCGAAGGACAAAGTTTTGAATTGTATGAATTAACGCAGGAAACCGATTTGGCTTACTCTCAGTATTCTATATTTAAGTTGTTTCGCGATTTTCCACACTTACGAGTGGAATTCGTCTCTCCAATGACTACCATTCTAATATAAATATGCTGATATAATTCTAAAATGTTGTAGGCTTCTTCATAAGGAGCGCAATTATCCTTACCTCGCGCATATCGAAATCGAAATCAAAATTGAAATAGACCTTAATTATTTCAGTCACGCGCGGGTTCAACCCCCACAAAAAGCAGTTTTGGACATATTAACTTTATAATCAAGAGTATTTTTTTGCATTTTTGTTAAGCCGGACGTGCTTGCGTATGTCCAAACAGAAGGTGCCTGTCCAAATTTTAGGACAACCTGTTATAAAAGTCCTGGCAAGTTTTGGGCTAGGCAACACGTTTGCAATGCCAATGCAATTACCTTAAATTCATTTTGTTTATAAAAGGCGTGCTGTTCGGTCTGCACTCTAGTTGCTTGCACAGGTCTCATATTTCAGCTTAGGTGAGAGTTTTTTAAAGTATCCGATTAATGGCTACCCTGTACCCAACTTGAAACGTAAATAGCTTTTGAGCTGAAATTGAATTTTAACAATATATATCAAAGCTTTACGTTTAAAACAGGAAAAGCGAAGACACTAAAAAAATGTATTTAACCTTTTTATTATATCTTTTAAAAATCTACCCGCTTTTTGGACAATTATTAAAAATTGATAGATAAATTATCTGTTATATTTAACATAATTATTAATAAAAATGATCTGTGTAAACTATAGCTATCGCAGAAACCTGCATATGGCTTTACAAATCTAATACACCATTTGCAATGATTCGTAATGGCTACAGAGTATAAAAAAGTATAGAATGAAAACGACTTAATAAAAACATACGAACATGTATATGTATATGGAATGTACAAATGTACACGTTGGGCGGCTATTGAAATTGAAAACGATTACAGTTTTGCAATACGGTCCCGAGGGTGGTTGAAATTTGAAGGCATGTGTCCTTTTGACGAATACGGAGCACACAGCCAGATAAAGACCGAAATACCCACTGATGAGTTGGCAATAATTCGGTTGAGTGGTTACTGTCAACAGGCAAATAATAGAAGGTGTTCCATTTGAGGGCGGGTAATCATTATTACACTGATGCCGCTGCTGATGGTCTTTTGTTTACACGTAAAACATCATGCATATTTAATTGGGTTAAATTGCTGGACGATTAACATTTGAAAATGAAATGCGCGGATAATTGAGTTTACTTTGCCTAATTACAAGTGGCTTCCTACAGGTAAGCACTCGTAGCCATGGAAAAGCTGCATTTAACAGATTATACAATTTACCTGAAGTATGTTCAATTACCAAATGAATTGCATGTCTACAAAGCAGCTGATAATATTGATACCATATTCCCCAAACCATTTTCCACATTGGAGACTGATGAGCTGTGGATGGACTAATATATACTTGTTCGGACTGAGTGACAAATTGGCCAACTGCGGAAATTAATATATACCATATTTTTAGATACATTTTGCAGATAATGATTGGTCCAAAAATATAGACTTCCTTAAATATCCGGAAAAATAATAGAAATAAATGTAATGCTCATTGGTTATTTGTATAAAACAATGATCGGGTATTTATTTATTTATAAAATGATCTAGTATTTATTAAAATTCGCCAATATGTTTAAGCATAGGTTTCTAGTAATTGTTGAGTTTTGTAAAAATATCAGACGAAATATCACATTTAACAGATTACACAATTTACCTGAGGTATATTCAATTACCAAAAGCATTGCATGTCTACAAAGCAGCTGATAATGTTGATACTATATTCCCCAAACCATTCATCACATTGGAGACTGATGTCCAAGAGTATGAAAAAATCAGGCTTATGCATCTGTTACAGAATTTAAATCTTTATAGGAAAAAGAGTAAATCTACCGTTGAAAACTATATTTTCTTAGAGAGTCTCTTATGTTTACTTCAGTAGTAAATGATGCTTTTAAAGAAAGCAGACTGACATTTATAATTTATAACGATTTTAATAAGGCTTTTGATTCCTTTAATCACTCCTTAATGCCTCAAAAATTACGCACTTTTTCCCAGAACTCAAAGGAACAAAAGGATCTGTTTACAAATTCGTTTTCTAACTGCCCTCTGATTCTGATATCAGGTGTTCCCCAAGGTAGTCAGTAGTGACTCTCGAGCATTGTATTGTATGCTGATGATGTAAAGCTGTGCCCTGTTTTCAAAGATATGGTCTCATGTAATGTTCTCATTGAACTATCTTGTTACGACCGTGTTCAAAACGGCCAGAATTACTTTGGATATTATCAAGCTATGGGCCAAGGAGTTTGATGATCCTTCACGACAAATGCTTTTTATAGCTGTGGTATTACCTAGGCCTGCATGAGTATGACTCATTTGTCTGGTCGCCACAATATTCCACTGACCAAAAAAGAATTTAATCTGTGCAGGAACAATTGCTATTATATTCCCATTAACTGGGATCCTGGTGTGCGTATTTCGTCATATTCCAGTCGACTTCTGATTCTTATGCTTGGTGTAATATTTATTCATTAGTTAATTACGGGTGAATCAACTATTCCTGGTTGACTGGTCAGATCAACTTCACTGACCCAACTAGAGTCTCCTCTCAGATGAGAGGTAAAGAATAAAAAAAAGATGTTCTATCAAGTGGTTGTCGGTAGTGCTCGACCAGGAGATACCGTACGGTCGCCTTATCCAAAACTTACTGTATAAACCTAAATCTAACATTATCAAACATAGGAAATTAATAAGAATTGCATGAATTAAAGAGCAGCGCATACATATACCAAAGCATAGGATACAAAACAATCGTAATTTCTATTTACTTAATGAACTTTATAAAACATTATTTACTGTAGAACTAAGGAGCACGTGCGTGAATGTATGTGCATTTGATGGGGTAGTATTCAGAAAATTAAATATCCTTGATCTACGTATACGATACGAGAATCTTTATATCAAATTTGGTGAACATAACAATTAAAACCTAAGAAAAACAGGATTTCAAAGTTCAACTGTCCAGCTCCTATAAGTTCTAAGATCGACGGAAAAGCAGACATACTTAATTTCAATGAGTTGTGGGCATAAAAATGGACAGATGAACCGACAGCCAGCTGAGCAGGCAGATCAAGAATATATATACGTCATGGTCGAGGATATGTTCTTCAATGCACAACAATTTTCATAGAATATTTAAAATGAATATAAAGCGTTTATAAAACTACACAATGCCAATTGAATTGAATCAAATGTTTAGCCTCTTTCGACTAAGCATTAGTCCCCAATTAGTGAGTCGTAGATTTTTATAAATTACAAAACTCGCATTTCTAATATGGTTCCTAAAAGTGATGCAATTAACGTTTAACACTGAGAGATTCTATTGTAAAGAAACATAACCATAGGAATATCTCTTTGTTATCCTATATAACTACTATTTTTTTGCAAGTGTACCTTGTGGGGGGGTCGGGGATTCCTGCACAATACATAAACCGATGTTAGATTGTTCGATTATATACATTGGACACCGTGCATTTTTATATTTTATAATTTATTTTAAAATTTATATAATTTGTATAATTATTGTATAGTTATTATTATTATATTATGTTCACTTTTTCAAACATCATTTTAGCTTGTTTCCGAACTAATCAAGAAATCTCGCGTCGCGAATTAACCGTGAAGACTGAACAGGAACGCGTTTCCGTTTTGTTTGACTCCTGTAAAAGCCACCATGGCAAACACTATATAAATACCAGATGGGAAACTCAACCAATAAGGGTCACGCCTAGAATGTTTACAGGCCATGTCCGGGAGAGATTTTGTACATTCCGCCAATTAGAGTAATATGGGCGTGTCGCCATCCGATCCCACGCATGCGTCTGGCGGAAGACACCCTGGAGAAATTCCAGCACTTACACCCCGAACATCGCACCATACCCATAATTTGCACATAACACGTATTTTGTATTTTGAATTCAACGAACTGTGAATATTGCTTTTAATTTAATTAACTTTTCCAACAAATTGTGGCATGCAAATTAAATTAAGTTATTGGACAAGCCAGATTGCGGGGTGTAAATACCATATATATTTATACATATCTCCGTGTGCATGTTGGACATTCAATATAATTTTATCCTACATGATATTTAGTACTTATACTAAATATACACATTAAAGCATGTTTATTGGTGTAATTATGGCGACATTTGTCTTTCTCTGACTTATACTATTGCATAAGCTGCATAATTGGCAATCCCACATAAATTAATACCTTTACGCATTCTCATAAAGCCAGCTTCTCCCCACAATTCTCCCCACCAGTTCTTTAGAATCCAGAAGTTTTTGTCAAAGCCAATCAGTAGCATGGCATGGTTTACAGAAGTTGATGTACAGGATACGTCGTCATAAATGCCCTCACTGTAAAATAAAAATATAAATCAAAATAAAAAGAGCATTAACATTTCCGTATATCTCATTTATATATTTGGCCTGAGAGCTAGGCGTGCAAGTCCCCATTCGAATGATTGAAAACCTCCTTGGAAGTGGGCTCAAAGAAGTAGGGATACACTTCAGCCGTCCAACAGCGGATAATGGATAGAGAATAAAATCAAACCTGGTCTTATAAATGTATGTAATAGTCAAAAGGAGGAAGAGAAAGGATCTTGACTCTATGGGTAAGTACATTGAGCAATATATTTACATATTTATTTTATTTATTATATTATATATATTTGATACTCAATGGGGTATATGTATACTCAACTCTTGAGTCCACCCAGCCTTCTGACAATCGAATACACTTACTCGCTCGTACTATTAATCTCTTTCAGTTTATTATTTTCTTCTGCGCTGATCAGCTTTCTACTTTTGATTAATAAACAAGTAGCTCCCGACTAGGGGATACCCTGAACCCTCTTCTTCCAACATCAAATGCATATATATATTCTATTTTAGAAGCTATATGTCAAGTTCGGTGACTCTAGCTCTTATTATTTACCAAAGTTTCCAAAAAAACAGGATATCGATATCGATCGATTTATCGATTGCGGGGTAAGTTATCGATCGGAAATAAACTCGATCTGCGCGGGAACTAGGAGCATCTACATCTAAAATTTCAAGTCTCTAGCTCTTATAGGTTCTGAGAACCTTGCGTTCATACATACGGACGGACGGATGGACGGACGGACGAACAGATAGAAGGACATGGCTAGATCGACTCGGCTATTGATGCTGATCAAGAATATATATACTTTACGGGGTCGGAGATGCTTCCTTTTGCCTGTTACATACATTTGGATTTCGCACAAATACAATATACCCTACCCTTATCTGAAGGTAAAATACATATGCCCTGATTTTTAAACAAAGTGATAAAACAAACTAAGAATTCAGAATCTTGATCGTCTTACCTATAAAGTTGAAAAGTTTTGGGACTTGCGTTAATGGAGACTGCAACTGGACCAATATGTGCCACAGCTGCTTGAATTGCGTTTTCATCCTTTGCCGGTAAAATGGCCCACGATGTCACATTGACTACAGCGAGTTCGCTAACGAATTGGCATTCTCCTTTCTGGAAAAAAAGAAAAAGAATTAAGAATTCGTTAGCTATATCTTCCGGTTTTAAATTCGCAGGACTCGAATTAATATTCAAAAATGTATGTGAAATACAACTTAAGACGACGTGCACGATGGTACGGGTTTTACATTTTACATTAGACGCTAATGAATAATAATAATATTCTATTGCGAATTCATCGTAGTACTGGTTTTATATTTTATATAATATGATTATGGATAATATTCGGACCTTATGTTTTATATATTACTAGCGGGTATAGCCACGGCCTTTCCCGTGGCACTTATGTTATAAAATCAGTGTTCTTGAATAGTTTTTAAAATGATTTTGAAACTGAGCGGACAGTAAACAAACTACTCTCATACAAATGTTTTTCGTCATTTTACCACTGTTTCGAGTGGAATTTCCCAAATCGCTGAAACACGTATTCATTATATTCTTATATAGAGCTTTGAAAATAAGTTTGATACAAATCGGACACAGCTTAAAATTTTCATAACAATACTTTAAAATGCACTTTCCACCGAAGGAGCTTAGATTTTTCAAAAATGTAAAAACACGTCTCAAATGATTTTTTATGTAGATCCATTCAAATGACTTTGAAGGCAAAAGGCCACCCATCAAATATTTGAACCCCATTTCCACCAAGGAGGAATACATTTTTGGAAAAGTGTAAAACCCCTTAATGAATTAGCAATGTAGCAATGCAATTTTGAAATTGAGTTTGAGGCCAATCGGATGGTAAACAAAAAAGTTTCATAAAGACAAACGTTTTTCGCGATTTTTCCATACTTGCGGGTGGAATTTCCCGAAACCCCCGTCTAAACGTTCACCTTCATCACATAAGGTAACTATAGTGAAAATTTCAGCTTCCTAGCTCTTACGATTTGGACTGTGCGTTGATCACTAATCAGTCAGTCAGGAGAAACAGCTTTATATATAGAGATACGGTTATGAATAATATTCTTTTGCGAGTTAATGAAAAGTATTATGATGATATTACCTTTGAGGCATATTTGTAATCAAGGGATCTCATTAGACCCCCGGTAGCCTGTAGATATCTTAGAGTGTTTCGTAGTGAGCCCCCGATACAGCCTTGATTGCCATGGGAGACACTACAGTCCACAATTTGTTGTTCACTTAGGGCCACAATCTTACCGGTGCGCTTGAACACCTGCCCTTCTATACTTTGAGCTATACTGAAGGCATAGCAGGAGCCGCAGCTTTGTTGATTATACAGTGGTGTAATAAATCCCTTTTTACGCCAATCAAAACTTTCAGGAACATTATTCATCAGCGGTGATCCAACAATGTCGGCAATATTGTCCGAATCAGAAATCTCTGGACTCCGTAATAAACGTAAATATCCCTTGAGGTATGAATCGGTATTCTGCAATAAATTAGTTGTATTAGTATTTACTATATCATTTTTTCGTACTATAATTTTGTCATGTAATCTGTAACTCATAAAAGGAGACATCAACGATCACATAAATTCATAATATATATATACTATATATTCTAGATTAGCCCAGTTTGTATAGCTACAGCTGATGTCAATGTACTTTCTAAGCTCTGAGATCGACCTACCTATTGATGCTGACCTAGAATTTATACGCCTAATAAGGCGGGAGAGGCTTCCCTTACATTCATTTTCAGGACTTAAATAAATACCGTGATGTGGATGATATACCATGTCAGCCATTGTGTTTGTTGCTAATCGAAAGCTGCTTTTTCCAGTTTCGTAATACGTATTATGTTCGTTGACAATTATTTGATTTTCCTCATAGGCTTCATAGCTGCGCATTTCATCATGGGAACGTGCATAGCTTCTATTGTTTATTTTCTAAAAAAAATATATATATATATATATATATATATATATACTGAGTATATTTGAATATTATGAACTTATTTAGTTGGTGATCATACCTTGAAAATTTCAAATCGTTCCTTATACATCTGACCTGATTCATTTTTATGACATATAACCATATTACCATTTTGCAAGCTGTAAAGATAATAAAATATAACTACGATCCGCATTGCTGCAATTTAATAAATTAACTATCAATATAAATTATTATTTGTCATTCGTTTTACACATTGTGCAATTGCAATTCAGCAAATATATACATATACCCTCATTGGGGGTATAATCGTATAACCATATTTGTAACACAACACGGGAAATAAAACAAAAAACAAAACATTTTTGGCGTCAGGCTGATCGGATATTTATGTATATTATATTTACCATATTTTTTATTAAGCTCTCTACGAGCCAATGGCAATTCATCAAATTTCTATACACTCCCTGAGGGTATAATCACATAAATATATAACGGAAATTGAAATCGGGAAATTCCACCCGCAAGTGTGGAAAAATCGCGAAAAACGTTTGTATTAAACTTGTTGTTTACCATCCGATCAACCACAAACTCATTTTCAAAGATATTTGTTCAAATTTATTCAAAGAATGAATATAAAAAATCATTTGAGACGTGTTTCGCAGAATCCAAGCTTATTCGTTAGAAATGCGATTCAAAGGTTTGTTGGGCTAAGTTTAAAGTTTTGTCCGATTTACTTTAAACTTATATTTAAAGATATACAGAAAACCTTAATGAATACATACATACATATGTTTGGTTACCATCCCATCTGGATAAAAATCATTTCTATAGCTTTTTGAGAGAATTTATTGGCTCGGACAAGGTCGGGCTATACCCGCTAGTTTATACATATATTGTATAGTATTACAATTTCTGACTTTTTGTCCATTTTAATGTTATCGTTATGAGAGACCTTTTTTTATTTTTGCTGCATTTGGTGTTGGTAGCAGAGGGCTTAGGGTACCCCCGAGTCGGCACCTCCCGACTAGAGACTCTTGTTTTTTGTGCTTTATTAAAAAAGTTTTTATTACTTATGCAGTTTAAGTTGATCAATTATTGCATTTATTAACTGCGGCGTCAGTCCCGTTTTGCTGTTTGTGTTTTGATTATCCGCTCTCTTCGCTCTCCCCTATGCATACACTTTTTTGTGTATGTGTGTGTGTGTGTATGTGTGTGTGTGTATGTGTGTGTGTGTGTGCGCTTGTGCATCACGCTCTCACAAATTCTGTTGCTTATTGCTCAAAATAAAAATTGTTTGCATACGAATATTTGGAGAGCGTTTTATTACTCTGTTATTGTGCAACGTTTATCTTTCGCTCTGTCTTCTCGAATTTTGTTCAGAGGCAAATACATACATATGATTTGTAGGCTGCAACGGCATCGCTGTTTTATATTTAGCTCACACAACAATTAACTGCTTTCGCTTACTCTCAGTGCTCTCAATGTTCTCTCATTATTTCTCGGGATCGTTTAAATGTGGGTGTGTGTGTATGTGTGTGGTTTTTTTTGCTTACGGCGGTGAAAATCTTCGTAAGATACTGATGCCCCGGGCCAACCGTATGCACGATTTGATGACTCCGTCAGCACCTACGTACTAAACTCACCCCCCACTCACACACCACATTCCCCGCGGGATCACCACAAAGTATTACTTCGCGGGGATGGGTTGCCTATTTTAGGCAGTATCCATTAGTCGTCGCTCCTTTTCGCATCGTCTCAGATCCCTCTGGATGCCTATTATGAGCTGGCTTATATTTTTCCACTTGTCCTCTCCGTCCAGCATGAACGCTACCAGTCCCTCCAGCATTGGTACAGCACGAGTTCCAGGTCTTCGTCCAGATTTGGGCAGTTCGGGCACTCTGGAGAGTCCTCATGCCTAAGCCTATGGAGGTACTTCCTATACCCGCCGTGTTCAGTGAAAAACTGTGTTAGGTGGAAGTTCATTTCGCCATTCCGTCTCCCAATCCATTGCTCCAGATTGGGGATCAGTTTATGTGTCCATCTCCCCTTGTTCGCCGTGTTCCATCTCTCTCTCCATCTATTCTGCCAAGTTGCCATTGATGTTGCTCTCTCCGACCGGATGACGTCCATTGAGACAGCGTCTCCCGTGGCTATTCGGGCCATGTAAATTTTCTCCATTTCCTTGGCCAGTATATCTACTGGCAGCATTCTTGCCAATACTGTGGCTGCCTCGTCCGAGACCGTCCGAAATCCAGAAATGGTGCGCAGAGCACAGAGCCTATAGGGGATTGACATCTTCCTTCGGAGGCCTTTCTGGCTTGCAACCGCAGAAGCCCATATCGGTGCAGCATAGAGCAGCACGGAGGCTACAACTCTCGCGAGGAGCAGGCGTCTACCTGCTTTAGGTCCTCCTATGTTGGGTAGCATCCTCGAAAGGGCCGCCTGCATTTGGCTGCTTTCTGGCTAACGTAATCTACGTGCGGTCGAAAGCTAAGCCCGTTTTCTAACATGACCCCCAGATACTTAATGGAAGCCTTTGACTCAATACTAACGCTGTTTACCTGAAATCTAGCAAACTCGACTATTTTGCGGCTTGTGATGAGGACCGCCTCTGCTTTATGGCCTGCCAGCTCCAGGCTAGCGCCACGCATCCAGCTGGCCACGATTCTTATGGCTGCATTCGCAGCCGCTTCCACGTCTTCTATTTCTTTGCCCACCACTACTAGAGCTAGGTCATCCGCGAATCCTATGATTCTGCATCCCTGGGGCAATTGCACTCTGAGCACCTCGTCGTACCTTATGTTCCACAGGAGTGGTCCCAGCACCGACCCCTGTGGGACCCCTGCTGAGACCGTGTAACTCCTAGCACCGTTATCCGTATCATAACTCAATACCCGATCGGACAGGTAGTTGGATATTATACGGAAAAGGGAGGACGGTATCCCTATTCGGTCTAAGGCTTCCAGTATACGAGACCAGCTTGCTGAGTTAAAGGCATTGCGGATGTCCAACGTAATCACCGCGCAATACTCCTTGTCTCCCCACCTCCATCTGGTTCTCTCTATTGCCCTAGCGGCAATATCTACCACCGCCTTAAGTGCATCGACCGTAGACATTGCCTTGCGAAATCCATATTGCTGTTTGGACAGGGCCTCTTTCTCTTCGACGACACTAAGTAGTAGTCGGTCATACACAATCCCTTCCAGTACCTTTCCCGCCGTGTCCAGTAGGCAGATTGGCCTGTATCCCGAGGGTTCCTCTATTGGCTTTTCCTCTTTCGGGGAATTGATTACTGACTTTCCATGTAGACCGGGGATTTGAGAGACCAAATGGCCGCTTTTCCACATTTACTTGCCACCCAGCCACTTCCAGCGATAGGCTTGTATGGCTCGCAGATTATTGCGACGTCCGTATTTCACTCCCGTAGGGCCTGAGCAGCCTCGCAGTGGTTGAGGTTCAGCTGTGTCTATTTCTATTTCTCTTGGCCAGGGCGCTCCTAAACACGGGCATCTGCCGCTGCCGGCAATGTGTTTGCAGTCGGTGTTCCTTTCCTTACAGAGCATGCACTGTGGCTCTTGTTTACAGTCCTTAGCCAGATGGTCTTTTCCTCCGCATCGTCGGCACAGATTCGATCTGTCTAGACCACTTTTACAGAGTCTTGCTAGATGTCCAAACTCGAGGCATCTGAAACATCTGGAGATTTTAATCCGTTCGCGGATTCTCGAGTAGTTTGCCGTCGTTGGCACCCGTCCTGAGTTCGTCTCTATCGGGGCGGCTGTTGGAACACCTAGTGGTGATCTCGCCATTCTGCTGCTCTTTGCAAAAGCATCACAGCTCTCCTTCATTTGTGGGGTTTAATTGTTACTCATTTTATTGGGTCCCTACTCCTAAGCCGTTGTCCTTGGTCGTTGTACAGTCGCGTTTAGATCTCATGGTTGTCTTTGCAAGCAGTGACGCCATGTGAGGGTTGATACCCGCCTTCATGGGGTCGGGTGTTCAGAGCCAGATCCGCGTTAATCAGGAATATCACATCTGAACCTATGCTGCCAACTAAATGGCGACGATTCGAGGAGCGTGCTAGGAGATTTGCCATGTTTTAACGGGGCGGGGGCGGTAACAGCATTAACCTAGCAGTCAATTCGGCCAGATTTCACTTCGCTTCCTGAGATGCTAGCATACTGTCAGCCGTCAGCCGTCAGCCCAGGGGTCATCTTGTCGTGTAGGGTTGTCCAGAGTTTGCAACCTAAGACGTTACTGGTCTCAGTCCTAGTCGCCTTCTCGTATTAGCTAGGCGCGTAACGGGTGTGCAGCGGCTACCCAGGGGACAATGCGCACAAATGCAATTTTTCTTAAATGCCGGATGGATTCTTTTCCGTAATATTTACTAATGAAAGAGTATGCCACATCGAAAACAAAGTCGAGCTTGGACCAGTCCTTAAGCTTATCAATGTGCACATGAAACTGTACTGAATATCTCATCTATAGTATGCACGGGCAAGCAAATTGCTGTCTGCAAAATATGTATTTATTATATACATTATATTATATATATATATATTATATATTATATATATATATTATATATTATATAAAAGTAGGTTGTTGGATTATTGTTTCAATATGAACTCATATATATTTAAATTATTTTTTTTAAACATATAACCATTTAAAACAAACAATCAACCAAAAGCATTTAAGAAATTCCATTTGAATTTGTGGAGTCTTAAGGCTCAATCTTAGATTTGTCTTCTATTTCTGCCCAAATACCTTCGTAAATTTTGGATTATCGTCAATGCAATGTCCTGATATGATGTAGGCTGGACGGGGTCCTTCTGCCTGCTAAATACATTTGCACTAAATCTTTTTTAATTTATGTGGGGTATAAAAAGATGTGCTCAAATATGTCAGCGTTAGGAGAGTGCTCACTGTATATTCCTGAGACTATAAGCGCCTTTTCCAGTATATTTCTTTTTGCTTACCATAAATAGGGTATTCTATGAGAAGGTAGATCTAGGAACAAGGTATATGCCCGATCAGACAGGGTATCTCTGAAGGGGATACTCTGAAACACGTTACTCTCTTGGCTTAACTTGATACTTATCAATTTTCGTTGAAATAATGTCGACCTTTGGGGTGGTTCCATTCGTAATAAAGGTATGAGGGCTTCGAATTTGTATGCCATGAACACGGATGATAC